CTCTAGTACACTGCTGGTGGGAATGCAGACTGGTGCAGCCACTGTAGAAAACACTATGGTGTTACCTCAAAAATTAAAAATTGAACTTCCATTTGACCCAGTGATCCCACTTCTAGGAATATACCCTAAGAAGCCTGAAACACCAATCACAAAGAATATATGTACCCCCATGTTTGTAGCAGCACTATTTACAATAGCTAAGATCTGGAAACAGCCCAAGTGTCCATCAGTAGACGAATGGATAAAAAAGCGGTGGTACATATACACAATGGAATACTATGCAGCTATAAGAAAGAAAGATCTTTTATCCTTTGAGACTACATGGAGGGATCTGGAAAGTATTATCCTAAGCGAAACAAGCCAAACAGAGAAAGACAAGTATCATATGATCTCACCTATTTGTGGAATATAATGAACATAACAGTCTGAGGAATAGGGTAGTCCCAGAGACGTGGAAGTGGGGTACAGACTGACAATCCCCAGAAGAGGGGTGGTGGGGGAGGGATAAACCACAGAACTTATATGCATGAACAATGGACATGGACAACAAAGCTGACAGGGCAGGGAGGGAGGGGGAGGGGGAATCAGTGGGGGCAAAAGGAGAAACATCTGTAACAAAAATAAATTAATTAATTAATAATAAAAAAAGAAAAAAGAAAAAGAAAAAAACCTGCAACCCAGGTACGTGCCCTTGAACCCGAGACCCTTTGGTCTCCATGTTGACACATTAATCACTGAGCCACACCAGCCAGGGCTCAAGTTTTCTTAATATTTTTTCTTCCATTTTTTTTCACAGCTGGCTGCCTTCTTGTATTATATATTTGGTCTACTTTCAGAATTGAATCATTCTCTCCTATAGCTAGGTCTTTATTCCTTAGAATTCTATAAAGCAAAAAAACACTGGTAATATAAATAAAGTATTTTCCCTGGAATATAATAATAATAATTCCATAAAATCTATATAATAATATAATTTTACTTTTTCTATTTTTTTCCCAAAAAAAGTGATGTAAATATTTAGTGTCAAGTAGCTATATTTGTTAAGATGTCTTACTATTTTATTTCCTAGTTAATGAAGTTATAATCATACTTGAAAGTGTAATAGTTGTTAAAAGAGAATTTGTTTTGGACGGATCCATTGTTTGATAAATTATGCTGTGACTGAAATGCCCAGTAAACTGATTTGCTAAGTAATATATTATATAACTTTTCCAACCTACATACATTGTTTTTCAACTCTATATTTAAATATATAATAGTAGATGCTGGTAATTTTCTAAGTTGTCTTCTAAAAATAATATTCATACTGAGCTATAACTAAGTACTATAATTAAATTTGGTTTATATTTGTACTAGTTCATTAACCTTAACATTTTCTGGAATAGCCAAGCTAAGTTAGACCTTGGAAGACCAAACAACCTTTTGTAATAATTATTACCACTGAACTAGCATCATTAAAGAACAACTATTAGTAGCATGCCAACTTTGTAGCTATCACTTTCCTAAACCACAAATCAAATTAGCGTATTCTTCATTTATTTTTTATTAGTTGTCAACATTAGACAGAATTCATTGTTAAAAGTCAGGATTAGCTGGCATGGGTTTAGTATTTGTCACTGGCTGAGTTTATACAAATGCATGTGCTATTAATTATATCTATTTAATGAGTTTTTCAACTAGAATTTTAAAAGGTTTTGCCAAGAATACATTTTATTAGAGACTACAAGCACCACTTACTACTTATCAGTATTTTTCTCAAATATAGATTTTGTTCTTAAAAGGGTCAGATTGAAATATTTCAACTCTTTTATGTAAACAAAATAAAATAAGTGAATAGGCACAAACATAATTATAAATTTAAATAAATTCTGTACTAAAAGTAAGATCAAAGATTAAGAATCTATTTTGTTCTTAAAACCAAAGATTCAATAAAGCTGACTGCCTCTTGATCTCCATCCCTGATCAGACTGGACACTATTTCTACCTCGGTTAATGGCTTCTTAAAAGTAGATAGCCTTTAAATCCAGACATTTCCAGGAATCTCTTTATGGTACTCTGGAAAGAATCACAAATTCTGGCTCTGTGCAGAGCATTAAACAAACAAAACAGATTTTTTGAAGTATTTAATGAAGCTCAGTGGTGTCCACAGTCCCGTATACGTGTTGTAGGTTTTTAAAGAAAGTAAACTCTTGAGATTAATTGTGTAATTGCAGGAGATAAAAATTCATTCTTAAAGATAAATTGTGCTGACTTTACATAGTTCAATTTCACTGCATGAGGTAAAAACTCTCATTTAGATCTGACCGTGTGGACCTGACATTACAAGCAACTACCAGAAAAAAAAAAATCCATAAAAGATATAGAATGAGGGACCTTTGATAATATTATGTTTTTCTAGAAACATTATGTTTGGATCCTTGGTGCCTATCTTAAAGCTAAGTCCCAGTCACTTAAACAAATGTATTTAAGCAAGAGACCTATTAACCATTTATCGTTTTTCATCAGTAGTAAAACTCTATACTGTGAAGATAAAAATTCTTTAAAATTCTAGAAAAAGTAAAAACATAGGGCTGTAATTTTATTCCACTTACAAATAAAATGTTTTGCTATTTCTTAAATTTCATATTTTAATTTAGCAAATAAAATTCAGTAAGAGATTTTAAAACTAGAAACCGGCGATTGGTCTAGAATAGTCCTAAGAACATGTATACCAAGATGCCATACTGATAATTCCACCAATTCTTACCGCTTTTCACAAGATATGTAAATATCTAAAGCTGGAGTTTGGCAATACTCCTTCCTTAGCAAGAATTAAATCAAGTTAATGGCATAGGGTGAGGGTTTTAGAAGGAGATGGCAGAATAAATTATTCCATCAAATCACTATCTTTTCCCTCTACTTCTGCTTCTACACAGTGCCCAAAAGAAGATTATTTATTTATGGTTGGGTCAAAGTCCTGGACACCGGGATAGATAGGAGAACCCTTTCAAATAAACAAGTACAGAGCCATTATTAAGAGAAAGCAAGACCACATTTTCATGAGAAAACATCCTAAGTAAAATGCATAAACAAAACAAAACACCAATTTGGTCCTGTTTAAGGGCTGCCCTTGTGAGTTCATTTACTAACATTCCATACCCCTTTAGTAATATGTAACACACTTTCCCATGGCTTATAAGTGCAATCTAATACAAGAGGGTTCAATAATTGAAATGATTAGAAAATACAGTGAGAAAGTTTTCCTAGCAAAGGAGCAGAGTTTATATGCTAATGTGGGCAGGATCACAGTCCACACAAGGCCTTTGGGAAGATCTTTCCTGGGGTATGCAAGATTTTCATTTGCTACTATATTACCAACTTTTAATAAAACATGTGTCCTAACAAAACACATCTCAATAAGTGAAACATTAACTTTGTAAGAACCAACATTAAATAGTCATCAAAAGCTATCCTCCACACACACATCCACAGATGGATATTATAATCTCTGTTTTGCTTGATTTCATTATGAAATCACGCTCCGTAATTGTTCACCTCTGGACTACAATGTCAAAGACATTGGGAGGCTTAAAAAAGTCTGCTCCCTCTGCCCACCCCACCACCACACCTGTGTGTTTTGTTTTTTCCCTACACTTTCCGTAGGAGAATGCACTTGCCATTTGACATATACATGCTATTTACTCAATAGTTAACCATGGATAGAACAAACTATATTTTCTATTTTTTTCCTGAAATTCCTAAGTTAGCAATGATTCAACCAACGTAATCATTCCTATTACTGTCCTTGGTTGCATTGGAGATATAAACAGTTTCCTTTCTTTCTTCTTGCCAGTTTAGACATTGCTCATTGAGTCAAATTTTCTGGTTTGCTTTTAGTGAGTGCAATGCCCCTCCTAGGCAAGGAAGGAGGAATAGCTCTCTAAATAGCAACTGTCAAAGGAAAAAGCAGTGCACAGCCAGGCACTACACGTTACAACGTTGGTAAAAGTCACTGCGAAGCGGCAACAGGAAGAGCACGTTGCGCACGTTGCTCTCCATTTCCTTGACCCGCACCCCGTCAAGTGGGGTGCCTGGAGAGAATCTTATTTCTCTCCCCATCACTATCAGTAGGGAAAAGGGTCTCTTTCATCATGTAAAGTAAAATGAGACTGGAACTAAATAAGAGCTGTATGACTTTTTCCATACTGGCATAAAACTGAAAAAGCAGAATTGATCATTGTCATCAATAGCATTAACATTTAAGCACATTGTCACACACCAGTGTCAGATAAAAGCAGCAGAAACTGTTTCAGCCAGCCCTGGTGGCCAGAAAGTTCTTTTCAGAAGTGTCTCTTCTTTGGGCTCTCCCAGTTAGTAATCAGTAATGAACTCAAGGGCCCGATGTGATGATTTAAATATTCCTTTACTGTGTGTATATTAAGTGATCCAAAATAGAATGCCAATTTTTCTACCCATCATAAGTGGTCTGATAAACTGTGTCACCAGACTTATTTATCATGATCTATAATGTACATAAAATACCTGAAAGTGCAAAAGTAAAAATAAAATCAAATTAAGACCTCTGTGTACAGAGCGCCCTGATGGTATATGAGTGAGGGCTGGGATTTGAAAGTGATCTGGTACAGTAACCATTCTGTTCCATGTATGCCGTTTCGTTTAGAAGAACACGCATGTGCCCTGGCCAATTTCACTCAGTGTTTAGAGCTTCAGCCCTTGGACCAAAGAGTTGCAGGTTTGATTGCGGCCAAGGGCACATACCTGAGTCGTGGTTTGGTCTCTGGCCCTAGTCGGGGTCCTGCGGGAGGCAGCTAGTCAGTGTGTCCCTCTCACATTGATGTTTCTCTCTCTCTCTCTCCCTCCCTTCCTCCCACTCCATCTGAAGATAAATGGAAAAATATCCTTGGGTGAGGATTAAAAAAAAAAAAAAAAAAAAAGAACATGCACGCATTCCCACCTCCACAAACGCACCCAACACACGTGTATATAGAAAAAGGACTTACACGATTTCGTCGTTCTGAAATTCAAGCTCCCCGCAGGTGTCCTCGAAGTCTTCTCCTCCACCTCTGGCAGTCCCTTCGATGGTTTTATAGGGAACAATAACATTTCCTCGAGCGCCCGATGTTCTCAATACTTTCACCTCCATGATGCCAATGCTCTCACTCACGTGAGTGACGGACTCCTCAAAAGTAAAGATGCCCGCGTGGTCATCATCGAAGATGGTCACGGTGGCTGTGGACGGGGAGCCGAGGCAAGCCAGTGCCGAGACGTGGTTGGCTTCCAGGATGCCGTCTTCGGACGCTTCGGAACAGACTTTGACGTTGCTGAGATGCACGAGGAAATTCTCATCCTCCTCAAAGATGTCATCGTCGATGATGCCAACTCTGATCTCCTTCTGGGTCTCGCCAGGCTTAAAGACCACCGTTTCTTCAGTGAACTCATAGTCGGACCCAGCATTGGCTGTGCCGTCCTCAGTTCTGAAGTCCACGAACACAGTGTTGGTCAAATCGCCACCTCTGCGGATGATGGTCAGGGCGACGGTGCCGCAGTTCTCCAGACACTGGTAGGTCCCTTGTTCGAAGAAGATCTTACTGACCGGGTCATTTTCAGCCACTTCCGTGTTGACCTCGTGCATGCTGACAGCCTTCCTTGCTTGGTCAGCTGCGTGCCTCTTTAAGATGTTACCAGCTCCGGTCATCAGGCGAGTAGCTTGAATGCGGTAAAATGCTCGACTTTTTTGCTGCTGACTCAGGACTTGGTAGTTAGCTAATTCTATTAACTGCTCTATTTCTTTATCTGGATGCTTCTGCTTGAGTTCCTTCAAAATCCTAGCCATTTCTCGCCTAGCCTCCTCATCGTCCTGGTCCCTCTCATCCACCTCCAGCACCAAAGCGCCGTCTAAGAAATTGTCCACATGGGAATTGACCACTTTCCCATCCATTTCAATCTCAGTCTTGGAGGATGGCCTGTCTCCTTCATGTTCAATAATCATTCCCCTCTGCTTGCCAGCCCGATACCTCTTGTAGACATACTTGTAGAACAGAAGCCTCCTATCTGCAACCCAAGCAAACACGACACAGATGGGAAAGAAGAAGAAAGTAAGCAAACCTTCCCAGACCTCCACGACCCCAGGAGAGATGACGGACAAAATAATGTAAAGCCAGGTATAGGCAAAGATGCTCCAGGCTGCCGTCACAAAGAACACACGCAGATGCTTAATCTTCCTCGTCTCTCCATCTGGGACCACGTAAACACAAAGTGCGATGATGATGAACATATTGAAGGCAGCACTTCCCACGATGGTGCTGGGACCCAGGTCCCCTGCAGTGAAGTTATGGCCACACACTTCGATTACGGAGAGGAGAATCTCTGGAGCAGAAGATCCCAGGGCCATCAAGGTCAGGTTGGAAACCGTCTCATTCCAGATCCTCACAGTTGTCTTGGTGGTCTCTCCATTGGGTTTCTTTATGGTTATTTCTTTTTCTTGAGACGTGATGACTTCTATGGAGGACATGAACCGGTCGGCAATGATAGAGACTCCTAGAAACATGTAGACCATGGCCACAAAATACACAGTAGCTCTAGCAATTTTGTCCCCAAAGGAAGGGTCTTGGGGCTCCCAAATGGGTAAAATTACCCCTTTCTTACAGTAATATGAGCCAGTACACTGGTTAGTTTCATTGCCTTCTCCTTCCATCTCTGTCTCGGCGTTTATATGGTCCACATGGGAAAATAAGACAGCCACAATAGCTAACAGGTGAAATCCCAGCGAAAAGGTGGGTGACAGACTTACTCGCAGCATGTTGCCCAGCAGCCGACTTCCAACCGTCCCAACCTACTGGAAAGAAATAATATGGGGGTTGGGTGGGAAAAATGGCATCATTAGAGCCAGATCCAAAGCATGACTAATTACTTATATTTACTAACTTTACCAGTGATTTGCTTATACTTGACTATCACACCATGTATGGTGAATCATTCTTCTAAGAATCCATCAGTCATGAAGTAAAGTGTACAACTCAACTCCGCTTGTGGGTTTTCTACACACAGCTGACTTATTGGAAATGAACAGTTCAATGACAGCTTTGCACATTTATGCTAACAGTCAATGAGAAGGGAAAAACACAAACTTTTGAAGCATTAAATAATTTTCTCCTTGTTGCTGAAGCAGATTTTCTTTCAAATTTTGATTAGTACAATTACCTTCCAGAAACGGTTTCATTGCCAAAATCACCATATTAAAATTGATGCTTTAGTGGTGGTCCTGGGGCTTCGAGGATGAGGCATGGACTGCTACTCCTATGCCATACCCCCTTCCATTAATGTTATTTGATGTTTTTCCAATCCTCTGTAAAGTGTGGGTAGAAGCTTGCTTTGGAATTTTTACCAACCTAAATAAATCTAAGAAAAAGACCCCCAAAATGGTTTGAAGTTCAGACTTTAAAAATCCCACCAACACACGGGGCCTGGTGATAATCTTAGACTCTGGGGCACATCTGACACTACCTTTCATGAAATCATGTGCCATCACTCCAAGCTTACTGGGAAACAGTGAAATCTGCACGCTTGCCCGCAACGAAAGCTCAGTGGCATTTGTACTTGAGGGGAAAAAAAAGTCTGCAGCAATGCAATATTTCCACACAGTTAGTACAGTTTTTAAAAGCGTGTTTGATGAGAGCACATTTCCTCCTACTTTTCAGCAAGCGCAGGTCTCCTGATGCATTAGCAGCTGGGCCTCTGGCTCCTCCAGCACAGCTCTGCACATCTGTGCGCAGACTCGCGGAGAATCTGCAGGCTGTCCACAACAGACAGGGAGACAGCCAGGCCCAGAGCTGGTTGTGAGTGTCAGCTCTCGCCTGGCAGGCTGTGAAATCAGCGTTGCCAGCCATAAAGTGTTCCTTCTTGGTGCCGATCTCATACTTTCCATGATCCTTCTAAAACACATCTTAGTTCTATAGAGGGTTCAAGTGACCTAAAAGTGCACGAGCGATGATTCCATCTAAATTAGCTCATGTGGCAGAATGACAGTGACCACAAAGTGACATATGATGAAGGACTATAGGCAATTAGGGTTATGGCAAGGGAGTCAGTGAGCAGCCCGAAGCTTGGAAAGCAGAGCAAAGTGGTGGACTGAGCCACCATTGCTCCAAATTCACCCACCAGCTCAGGCAAAATCAGCTGGACCTTACATCACCTCTGCCTCCAGGGCTCGGGGGAATAGAGCAGGGTCTGTTCCAAGTCAGGGTAACTCTGGTCTGGAAGGTCAGTGAGCCAGTAGACAGAGTGGTGATAGAAGGGTCCTGAGTCAGACCACAGCCCTGTGGCCCAGTGAAGTCAAAAGTGGAGCTGGATTAGAGCCTTTCCCAGCCTCGGGCTGTCTGGGAGTCTCCCCACATTCACCTGCATTCCCTGGCCCATGTGTGCTGCCGATGGCTTATCCTGGAAACCTCCCCAGGGCCCACTCACCCTGGCAGTCCATCCCCTAAAGCCCCGTGTAGCTCATCACTGTTGGGGAGAAGCGCTGACGTTTTCCCCATACTGACGAAGGCACAACAGAGGCGTGGGGTGGTAGAAGTCCATTCTAAGTAAAAGGCAGGAAAATAAAAGCATATTTTCAGAATATGCAAAGGTTCGTGGTCCCTGGGATGGCTTGTTCAGACATTACAGGGCTTTGGGTGGGTTGTGGGATCTCTTGAAATAAGGTAACCTGGAACCAGCCCACAAGAATAGTGGAAAGTCTAGTTCTAACTCCCTTACACAGCCATTTTATTCCACAAATATGTACCCATGTTACCTAATGCATATTTCAGAATGATCTGCCAGGTTCTCTTCTAGGTCCTGAGAATTCATTAATAATTTTTTTTTTTAAATCTCTGGTCTCACAGATCTTGTATTCCAGTGGAAGGAAACAGACAAATAAATGCAAATGTCAGATGGGAAAGAGAACATAAGGGGACAGGAGTCCACGTGTGTGTAAGTGTGTGTCAGTGTGTACACGCACACAGCATGCGTGACTTACACGGGATGGTTAAGGAAGGCCTTTCCGATAAGGGGACATTTGAGCAGAGTCCTAAAGGAAGCCAGGGACCAAGCCTTGTGGATGGATACCGGCAAGGAGAGAATTCCAGGTAAGTGCGAAGACCCTGATAGTGGAACCACAGAGAAGCCAGTGTAAGGAGAGTGCACTGAGCGCAGGGAGCAGGGCTCAGAGGGGGGAACACCGCGGGGATGGGCCATGAGAGGCACTGAGGCCACTAAGGCACCGACTGACCGTGACGGGGTGGAATCCCAGGGAGGTTCTGATCACAAGTGTAAGACGAGCTGATTTTCCTTTTAAAATAGGATCTCTCTGTTTGTTCAGTGCAGAAAGACTATGGGGCAAGGGAGAAAACAAAAAGACTAGCTTTTGATTATTATAAAAAAAAAATCTGTTTTTTAAATGATCCCAATGTCTGGCAGGTATAAAAATGATCCAGTAGAGATCTACAGTTTAAAAAGGAAAAAGACACATTTGTAGTGACCCTTTGGAAAGATTTCCAACTTAAAATGCCTCAGGAGTCTGTGAGGATTGGAAACGGTGAGGAGCTGCTCAGAGTAGCACAGGACAGAGACAGCGACCACCAGAGAGACTCCAACCTGCGCCTAACTCCTGCCTGATGTTAACCACTGCCTTCAAACTGCTGCCAAATCTCATCATCACATTCCTCACATTTCAGGCAAAATGCACTTCTGAAGTGCAGGTCTGACTCACTCGCTCCCTTTAAAACTGCATTGGCTGCCTATCGCCCTAAGACAAACCCAGAGCCCTCGACAGCCTGTTCAGATCTTTTAGGATATAGCCTTTGAGTTCTAGCATATGGAAAGTCTTCCCATTCCCTAAACACAAAAACAGTTTCTTACCTCCAGGTCTTTAGCATATGATGTTTTCTGTGCCTCAAACTATTTTCCTTCTTAGAAGCAAGTTTCCAAAGAGCACAACAGCAAATGATAGTCAGTTGCCTAAGAGAATAACACTAGCTTCCATTCTTAAACACTACCCCAGACACCATGCTGAAATTCTTCACAGGTATCTTTATATCTAATACAATAACCAGCCTTGCTGGGCTCCTGCTGCCATGTCCAGGATAGCGCCCCCTGTGGTTGCACAGTGCACAGTGCCCTAACAGTAACCCTACAGAGTAGGTATCATTGGCCCATTTTGGAGGTGGGAGAACCAAGTATTTGTTAAAAGTCATACAGATATGGAAGGCAGTTAGACAGACATGACCAGAGCAAGGATGATGGGCCAGGTACAGGAGGTCACCAGGGTGGAAAGCCCCAGATGCCTAGCAACAGGCAAACTGGGAAAACAGGGACCTTGTCCCCAGAAGACTTTCCCTCCCCTAGCACATGGTGGTCATTCAGTCCTGACCCCCCCCCCCCCCCGACCTTTCCTCCCCTGGCATGTTGCTAGTCATGCGGGTCAGAAGCCCTTGGAGGGGAAACGAACGAAGGGACCAGAGAATAGCCCTTAAGCATGAAACCCCCAGGACAATGAGGTTCTGACCCACATCAAATACATCTAGGCCTTGGTTGTGCTTCAGCTCCAGACCCAGAAAAGCAGCAAAACCAGAGAAATGACACCGTGGCTGACCTCAGTACCAGATACATTGACTAATGACCCCCTGTCCCGGCACCAACCAATCATGGAGATCATGACCTTCAAAGGACCCACCAGGAAAGCTGATGAATATTCTGTGGATCCTCCCCCTGGGAGCTCCCCTGAAATTCCCACCCTTAAAAGCCCTTAGGACACAGGACCCAGCATGCTCTCGCTCTGGGAGCACACCAGCCTTTCCTGCCCCCTCCTCTTCTCCTTCCCCTCGGGTACTGTACCTTTACCTTTCTGTTTCCTAAGCTCCAAGGGCCCTTCTTTCGCGTCTGTAACTTGTTTCCTGAACCCATTTCTTCTACAGCTCACTTCTACCTCTGTGACTTTCTAATTAAACGTTTGCTTATAGTTTGAGTCTTGACTATGAATTCTTTCTTAGCCAGAACTCAAGTACCGAGGTTGCTGAACCGAGGTCTGGTCTGGCTCCACCAGTCTGACACCTGGTGCCGCTCTGGCCTCCGACACAGATTGTCAACTCTTGAACTAGGATTCAACCCCTGGTCTGTCTCCGAGACTGATGTAATCAACTGCTCCATTATATCATCCCTGATAGTGTGTGAAGTAATGTTTGAGAACTATTAAACTTGGGCTTGGACGAGCCCATTGGAAAACCTCTTGGCTTTCATGCAGGGTAGGAGGGCCTAGGTGGCAAAAGTCCCGTGGAAGGTTTCCAACAGCCTGGCTTTTATCTCATGGATTAGAGACTCAAACACACAAGCCTCAATGGCTGCAATGTAATATGTGGGCTGGCATGCCCCTGGAGACAGCTACCCTTCACTCTCCAGCCTTTTAGCAATTACCTGGCAACCTCTTCCTGCTTGCCCTCTTGGGGCGAGCTCTTAGGTCAGCCAAGAAAGAGCCCTGCCCCAACTCACATCTCACAGCATGTGCTTAGCCAAAAGGGTACCAGGTGTGCAAGGGGGAATGGACAGTACCAACCCATCCCCACCATCGGAGACAAGGGAAAGGGGCGTCTGAGGTTAACTCAAAAACATGACAGTTAGATTTGGAAACTGGTAGTATTATAATTCGTGAAATCACTGGACATAAATCACTGAAACAGCCTATTGGCAATGAAGCAACTGGAAAGAACTTTCTGGACTTCAGCTTCTTTAATTATTGAATTAACACCTGATCCAAATGCTTGTAAGGAAGTGGGATGGTGTCACTTAAATGCGAGT